ATGCCCAGTGCCAAGAGCAGGAAATACTTCCTCTCTTACTTCATCCAGACCTGCAGGGGAATTTTTTTAAGGGAAAAAAAAAAAAAGTAGAAATGAGAGAAAAGACCTGACCTTGCTGCTCTTTACAGTCTGGTGGGGAAGGAAGGGTGGCAGGAAAGGAAGAATCCTGAGTTCTGCCAGGGTGTTCAGTTCACATTCTTTTGAAAAAGACTTCAAAGTCTACCCAATACTTAAAATAAGATGGGAAGTAGCAGGACTAACCTGGAGGAGTTCACAGGCAGAAGCAGGGGAGGAAACAAACAACAGAACTCTTGATTTTCAAGGTCCATCATTTGCTTTGGAATAAAATCTCTCTTTGCTACCCTGGCTCATGCTTATCAGGCAGCCAAGGGACGTAGACACCCCACACAGATAACTTAATCGGAATCAGACATACAAATCCACTGGTTGGCTTTAAAAAAAAAAAAAAAAATAAAATATCCCAGGTTAGCCTGGGTGTTATTCCAAAAGGGCATGCCCTCCATTTGCTGCTCTGGAACAGCCAGCTTCACGTGGCTTAACCAGGGGCGACTCCAATGAAAGGAGAGCTGTTGACACTGTTTTTTCACCAAAAAAGGAGGAACAGATGTGCACAACTGCACCTCCTACAGCCCACGTGTGGGGCCAGGCAGGAAACCAGCCAGTCCACAGCGGAGGTGCACACACTTTCCAGTGACACGGGCTGACTGGAGCACAGAGATGCCAGAACCAGTTATAGGTTCTGTACTGTCCTCTGTTAAAATAAAATTCATCTAATAAAAACATTGGTACTCAGCATCACCATCAGACTATCAAAGGGCTTCGCTCACCGAATAAAGCCCTTTTGCTATTTTGCGACCAAATGGTCACCAGGAGACTGCACCCAACCCATGGAGACTAGATCCCAAATTACAATACATAATCTTATCATAGAATTGTCTGGGTTGGAAGGGACCTTTCAGATCATCCAGTCCAACCATCAACCCAACATTAACAAAAACCATCACTAAACCACATCTCTAAGCATTATCTCTACTCATCTTCTAAGTATCTCCAGAGATGGTGACTCCACCACTGTCCTGGGCAGCCCGTTCCAACAACAGCCTCTCCTCCGGGTCACCAGGACAAGAGGCTGGACATCCAGCCCCCAGGCACAGCCCATGCCGGCCACCTCCAGGAGCACCTCCAGGAACAAGCAGCAGTCGTCAGCTTGTCCTTTTTATTTTTATTAAGCCAGTGAAGAGGAAGGACACCGTCCATGGGCAGCAGGTCACACACACAATGCCAATGAGGGACGCCAAGAGCTGGACAGGTAGTTCCAGCTTGTTGACTTGCCCGAACAATTCCTAACCATTCACATGATGCCCCTGTAGTAAATGCCAGAAACAGGCACCTCGGTCCCATTCTGGAGGAACCTGAGCACAAACCACAACTCACTGGGCAGTTAACCTGGACCGAAGCTTTTCCGCCTCTATTTCATACATGGCTTTGCATGACCAAGCATCCAAATTTCTACACCGCTAAGTCACACAACGGTGCTTTTGTGGCCAGGGAGCTTCTTCACAGACTGAGGCTGCTGTCCTTCAGGTTTGTTTTGGTTCGTTTTTTTAAATAAATCCCCAAGGGGAGCCGGGGGGGGAGGGTGGAAATTGCTTACATTTGAAAATACCTAATGAACATGCTGAATTTGATAAGGCTTCTCCAACCTAATATAGCAAGTAATGTCAGAACTGACAGGCTATGTATATTAAAAAGTCAAATTATCCTAGTCTTCAGTATTCAAAAAGGGGGTACAATACTAGCACCCCCCCAATCACTGCTGCTTTCTCGGGATTTTTAAGCCAGCAGAGTTATAAATGATCAACTGTTACAGAGTGCCTTCCAGCACTTGGAAGCAAGACAGATTTTTATCAAGGAACAGCAGCCGCGAGAAAGCCTACGTATATTCTCCCCATCTCCCAGAACCTCAACAAGTTAAACCCCTGCAGCAAATTCCCTAGAACAAGGGCTTGGAGTCGTCCTGGACTCCAGGCAGAGAGCAGGATTACACACGGGGCAGAATCCACCCGGCATTTTCTGCAGGGGTCATTCCAAGAAAACCAGGGAAGGATGCTCTGCCCTTACAACCTGCCACTTCTCCCTCCCCAACCAATTTGCATCCCCAGAGAGGTGTCAAATCACGCAGAGGCAGCTTTAAAAGCCCGAAAGAAAGCGTTTTTACTGGGCTATGGTTTGAAAGGGGAAGACTGGCCAATTAAAGTGAATCTGAAAGGGGGGGAGGACACACACAAATCAGTGAGGGTGACCTCACAGACAGCAGCGAGCATGGGATCCGGCAAAGGATGCCCAAGAGCTGGCAGAGCCGCTGCCCAGTGAAGGGTTAATCGTGCCGAGGCAGGTCAAAAGGGCTCCCGAAGGAAGGGGATGGATGGAGGGAAGCTGCCAGAAGGTCTGTCTGCAGGAGAAGGTGGAATGCACCCACCGCCTCACCTCCACCTCAGCACCCACCCACTGCCAGGAAGACCACTGGGAAAAGGGCTGATCCCCATTTTGCCAAGCACACCAGGAAGGAAGAAAAAAAAAAAAGGGAAGGGAAGAAAAAAAAAAAGGAAAAAAAATAAAATCTCCCCTTGCACGTAGAGAAAGACAGAGACATTTCATTAAATGCCATTAATCTCCACAGACCCAAGCATTAGCTAGTTAATTAGACTAAAGTACAGTCACATTTTAACGCTGAGCGTTCGGTATTCAACTGGGATAAATGAACAACTAAAGTCCAAAACCTTAATTCAGTATCTAATTAAAAAACAGAAAACAAAAACCCCATATTATGAAATGCAGCCCTGAAAAATACGTCATAATTGATGTAAAATCTGTTCTTTATTGCATCTGATTTTCTCCAGTTTCCTGATAAGGCCCCTCTCACTCTTAAATTATTTTTTTTTTTCCAAATGCCCTGTAGAAATCCCAACGCTTCAGAAAGGACAAGTGTGTAAAAAGCAGAAACAGACACTGCTGACCTCTCCAGAGAGAGCGAGTTCCTGCTAGGAGTGGAATCCAGCCTACGTTCCAGGATTTGCCCCACACTTGAAAGATGTCCGTTACCAAAAACAAACAGGGGAAAAAAAAAAAAAAAAACACCAACACCAACTACGTGGAGAAAAACAAAATCCCCTCTGTAAAAATGACCTGATTTTGTACTCCTTTAACAAGAAAATTTAACACGCTAATATCCACAGTGTAAGACATGCCCTGGTTTTTTTAATTGTTATAGAAGAAATCACATGGGACAGCTTAACAGCTCTGTTGTAAGCGTTATAAACTTTTACAAATACCACTGCAGAAACAGATAACTGGTAACTGAAGGCAGTTTAAAATGTAAATAAGCCTTTAAAAGGTATTGGGAAGGGAGAAAGGAACATCAGCCACAGTGCAAGATCATCTTCATGCTATAATTATGAAACCCTTCAAGATTCTGATAACTTCAAGTTGTACCTTAAAGACAGCAGTAATCCAACAACATAATCCAGAAGCCACAAACCCCACGAACTATAAACTCTGTGCTCAGCACAGAAGCAAGCCAGGCACACTATTATTCACTAATTACTTATTAGATATGTCCTATGAGGAAAAGCACCTCTAAATATTTGACTGCATTGCTTTGGTTTAAAGTTCTGCAAGTAGGCCGTTGCGTTTGGGGTTTGTGTGGTTAGCTGTTTTGGTTTTTTTGTTGTTTTAGAAAAATCACCAGCATCTCCCCTGCTACAAGCCTAGGGTTCTTAAATTACACATGGTTTTTCCTCGGCGCGTGTTTTGCACAGTATTTAACACCATGGTTCCACACACTATTAAACTGCTGGCTTTCACGAGGAGCTACATGCAATAAAAGTGTTCGGCTGGATTTGTTCAGGTGGTCTCACACCACCAACATTAAACCACTTTTCCTTACTGACTAGTGTCCACAACTTCGCAGCCTTGTCTTGGGCACTTTTTGCCAGAATACTGGAGTAACACAACACGATGAGAGCGTGCACAAGTGGCACACACCAGCTACATTTAAGCCCTTCCAACTGACTCTCAAAAAACAAATCAAAAAAAGAAAAAAGTCAACGATAGAAGTTTTCCTTCAGCCTCTGCCTTTCAGAATTCAAACACAACTGAGGGCAGGTTTGGTTTTGAAACTGATGTGTTGTTTTCATTAGGCACAGCCTAACGAGCACCAACCACTTCTGATCCCACCAGCAGCTCCTCCTCCAGCAGGAACGGCACCCAGGGCTATCCCAGAGCTCCTCGGCACGCGGCTACAGCCCCTCTGTCCCCACATGGAGACCGGCCGCGCCACGGCGAGAGCACCCTGCAAGAAGAAGGTCACTTCCCCGGCCAGGCTGGTGGGATCAGAGCCTCAGAGCTCATTGTTTCACTGTTCTTGCAAAAGAATACCCCGTGGCCTGAAGAGTTCAGGGCTTCACCGGGAACTTGCTTGTCCGAGGCTTATTAGCCTCCAAAACACATTTCTGAAGTTATACAAGAAATTTGCAAACAATGAAGGCAGAGATATATTCCCATCCGTCACAACCACAGGAACTGAAAGCTCAGCTCCAAACAAACCCCAAATCTGCACTTAATCCCAGCGCTCTCCGTAAACACCGCGCAAAGCCCGTGGCAGAAAACCGCCCGGCAAACGCCAGCGAGACAGCGGCCACCTCCCCACAGAGCTCAGGGGGCTCTGCCCCGGCCACGGCCGAGAGGGACCCCGCCAGGAGAGGGTTAAAGAGGAGCCACGTAACCCCCCCAAAGCAGCTCTCCCCCCCCCAAAGCCGCTCTCCCCCCCATAGTTTCACAGCCATGCGCCGATACCCTTCAGACGCCATGCACTCCGGCTTTAAAAGCTTTCATTGCCAATTCCCCGTTTGAAACCTGAACTGCCTGGCAACAATGATTCTCTGTGTGCCTAAAATCCTATTATCGATCCTCCTACTTACCTTAGGCTGTGCTCGTCGGGGAAATGCAACTTTAGGGTCAATCTGAGGAAAAAGAAAGGGGAAATCAACAAGATAGCTTTTGTTGTCAATTCATATATATTTTTTTTTTAATTTTTTTTTTTAAATCACTGAATTATTAATCCCTCATTTCTCAGGCTTGTAATTCAGCACACTGGGTCATCTAGAACTACTCTGGAACTGGTGTATCACAGTCTGGGTTTGTCTGAGGGGGCTTGGCAGGGGGAAGGAGAGGGGAAAAGAGGAAGAAAACATCTCTTCTCTACATCTCCTACAGCACCTTCGGGGCAACAGCCTCCGCTGGTGCTCAGGGAGCTCTGTATTAGCCTCTGGGTGCTGCCTTTACACCCTAAACTGCACATCAAACACTATCTCCATACTCTGGGGGTGCGCAGAAGGACGGGCAGCATTCCTGATCGAGATCTTAACCTGTTGGTTTTGACACCTGCACCTTCCTTCAGTTGGCTTTGGGGTTACTTTGTTTTTTCTTTTCTTTTCCTGCTTTGTTTTGTCAACTGACTAGCACCACCACCCCGAAAAAGGAAATGCAAAACCCAAAGTCAAATTATTCACATTTCAACTATTAAAACTAAAACACTGGAAGGACAACAAGGTTATCCTTCACAACGATATGCCACATCCATCTGGTTTGCTCACCCTCAAAGAATATATGGGAGCCATGAAAGAGGCATTTGTGGGAGGGGGTGGGAAGAGGGGAGAGCAAGACACAAATGAAACGTACAAGCATTTTAAACCAGAAGAAACCAAGTTCTTAAAAAAATATTTTCTGTGAAGGAGCTACCTAAAGTATTCTTGAATGAAGCAGGCCACCACAGAGACAAAAAAAAAAAAATCTGTTTTACCCCACGGTTGCCTGTTTTAAGATGCAGCATTGACTCCCATTGTGCTGCATAAATTAGGAAGCGTGTCCACTCTGCAGCTCCAAAATGCTAATTCTGCAATTTTAAGAAACAACTTCCACATGGGTCATCTTTAAAAAGGGACTCTACCATTCAAAAATTACTTAAAAGCAAAAAGACACCACTGCAGGTGCAGGTCTGGATGTAAACAAAAATCATACCTTTCAAACAACTGCCCATCTTAAATTGTCAACTTTAAAAATGATTGCAATAAAACACCTACGTGCTGCTGGTTTCACCTCTGGTCTTTAGCAGCACCTGCACACAGATGGGTTCGAAAGAGAGAGTCTGAAAAAGGCTTTTTTTTAAAGGACTAAATCCTACCGTAACTGTGCCACTTGTGACTGCTTTCAGCGTCGTCTCTGACTACAGAGCAGACTGGTGTATCTAACCCTGACGTGGGAAGGCATGCTTAGAAATACAGACTTTCTTTCATGCCTTGGGGTTGGGTTTTCTTGGGGTTTTTCCCCCTCCAGCTAACCCTGATCGGGAAAAGGAAATGTTTCCATGTGGTATTTGTGTTCCTACGATGATAAATATTCCTGTCACTGATAAATAACCACGGGCCTCTCCTAAAAAGCAGTATTACTCAATTAATTTGTCAAAATTGGGAACAGCACAGACATTTGATGTGCAACTGATAAACTGATTTGTCTACATCAGACACAAATGTAGTATCTTTTTTAGGACACACCTGAGAAATGAGCGATTACATGCCACTTTATTGTTCAAAAAGCATAAAAAGTAAAATTCTTTATCTAGAAAGCTAACCTTTTCACCGAGATTAACATTATCTACAAATAGTTTCAGCACTGACTAGGCATTTGTCTACCAGGGAAATACAACAGGTACGGATTTTCCACAGCGATCCCCAAAGGTGGAGGCAAATACGCACCTTTCTACATTTGCTTCAAAAATTAAAAGTGTTTCCAACAAAGAACACCAGTCCCACCAGAAGGACACCCCCGCAAAGTCCCACCGGTAAAAAGTTGGAAGAGCCCTTAAACTCCAAAGCGGCAGGTTAATTTCTGAAGGTCAGCTCAAAGAGCACAGAGTTGGGTGCATCACAGCCCTTCCTCCACAACAGCATTTTCCTTCACAAAACCTTTTTTGGATAAACACCATCAGCGCTGGAAGAGGAACACCAGCGACCAACATGGCAAATCCATACCTTTTGCATAACCCTGTCAACTATTTAAACAACAACCAAAGAAATAAATAAATTATATATAAAAAAAAAAAACTTCTACCAAAATAAAAAAATTAGTTAGTTAGGTACAATTCTACTTACTGTATCTACAAATCCTCTAGGAAATGACTATAATACTATTTCTGATATGAATGGCCATTACCTAAACAAAGCTTTTAACGTAACTGTAAACAAGAGCGACGTTTCCATGCCAATACCCAACCGATCTGCCTCCTGTGCTGAACGTTGAAACAGAGTCAAATGCTATGTTATACTAAAGAACAGTTACTATAATACGTCTACAAATAAAGGGCTGAAAGGGGTCCTGGCTAGTTTTCTGCTTTACTTTTAAGCTGCGCTACTGATTCTAAGGTCGATTTCTTATTCGGATTGATTCAATCATTATCACACAATCAAAACTAAGGCCAATTTTGTCCTGGTCAAGCTTTTCACCCCTCCCCCAGAGAAGAGCAAATTAATACATTGCAGGGACTAGACTGCGATACAGCAGAAAAGCTGGGGGAGGACCTAATTATAGGCAGAAATATGACAGGGTGTCCTCCCATGATTTATATTATATTTTTTTTAAACCCTCGTTCAACATACTGTTTGCCTTTGTTCTTCTTATCTAAATTTATCTTTAAAAAACACATAGAGAACATAGCTGTACATGAAAAGTCTGGTGAGTTTAATCTCAGGAGCACAGTGGAATCAGTTATCTTACCATATCTGATTAAACCTAAAATCAAATTATTAAGGCATGTGAAAGCATGGGCTACGTGTTCAGACAAGCCCAGCAGAATTTGTAGGTCGAATTAAAACACTGGATTCCACCTGCTCCTGCAAGGGCTTTGCGCCTTTTTTTGTTTTCATAAAAATTGCATTTTTAAAAATAATCATACACTCGCGTCCGCTCCCTGCTCCTTCTCTTCCTCATTTGACTATAACCTCACACACACAGCCACACGCAAGATGTTCCAGCACCGAGACAGGATTCCTCCTAACACCACGCTCGGGTTAAAATAAAACCTTTTCAACCCAGAAGACGAGTGATGAAAGACAGTCGCAGCCAGGAGCACACTGGGGAGGTTCAGGGGGGGCTCCCTCACACCAGCACCCCCCTTCCCTTCCCAAAACACGACCCCCTCCAGCATCACAGTCACAGTGACCTCTACCAATGTCCTTCCCCCCACCCCTTCCACCTTCCCTGAGGCTGAAAAATTACGAGAAAGTAGAGAGGCACCAAAACTTCATCTTTTTGCACGGCCTTGGTGACAGAGGGAGAGAAACAGGGCCTGAAGGTACACACGCCTGATCCCTTTTGTTTGGCCCAATACTGTAAACACAGCATCAGGTCAGGGGGGAAACTTACAAACACACCCCCAAAGAGCCAAACTGAGCCATAGGTTTGTTTTGCTCTTAGAAAAAAAAAATAAAAATAAAAAAAGGCGAATGTAACAATGTAACATTTCTTAAAAATAAATAAACAACCCGGCTGAATCTCAGCAGCTCTCTCCTTATGTTATCCACTGGAGAAACAACCACAAACTGGGGCTTGTGCTTCCCCACCACATCTGCTCTCCAGCTCTGGCACAGCTCCCCATTAATTAACACCGACGTTTCGTAAGGGCCCTGACATCACAGGTGAGGGGGGACCTCTCTTCAAAAAAAATGACTTTGGGAAATGACACTTGGAAGCAGCTTTTACCGTTTGACACTTAAGTCACTCCCACCCTGAACCGCGCGCACCGATAAATAAATAATCAATCAAAAGAAGCAGAAAGTTCCCTGCAGGAAGCATTCTGCAGCAGAACATCACCCCCCACCCCCCCCCCTAAAAAAAAAAAAAAAAAAAGTTGGATTTCACTCTACAATTTTTTCAATGTCACCGCTCAATAAAATATAAGGCCGGGGGAGGAGCCACCGGTCGGTATGGCTAAATCCGGATTTAAAAATACCGCTTTTTGTAAGTTACAGGCGGACTCGAGGAGGAAAGGAAAAACAAAAAAAAAATAAGAAAGGCAAACCCCCCCCACGCACGCAGAGTCCCCGCTCAATGACAGCCTGCCATCGCCCCGCACAGCCCGCACGTCCCGGTCACGGCCGCGGGGACCGGGGGAGGGAGGGGGGGGGAAGAGTCCGGACACCCCCCGCCCCAAAACCTACCGTCTTGGAGTCCAGCTCGTGGTGCGGCTGGGCCAGGACTTTGTCTACACT